TTGATGCGCCCACGATATCGCCGCCCCTGCGCAGAAAGTGAGCGCAAATCGCCGAGGCGTACCGAAGATGGCCGAAGTGTTTCAGTCGTGCGGCAGCCGAGCCCGAGCGATCCCCCGATCGCAGTCGTGCGCGTTGGAACGACAGGTACTACGAGTACGGGTACGGGTACGGGCAGTCAGTAGTGGACTAGCGGCAACGGGAGCAGCAGCAGTAGCGTCTACGACGGCCGTAGCAGTGGTGCAACGCTAACAACAGAACAAAACAGAGAAGAGAGTATGGTAGGTCCAATTGACAGAAGACATCGGTAAACGGGTAAATAACGGGTTCGTCGCGTTTACCCTGTTCTGTCCGGGCTAAAATCCGTCGTGTTGAAAACGAAGGTGCGCGCAAACGCTGGCTGCTCCACGGAATATGTATGTGACGGAGGTGGGCGAGGGCCGTGCGAAAAAGTGGCGAAAACTGTGAGAGAGGTGCAGTGCCTCCACGTCGGTGGCAGTGGCGGTATTGGTAGTAGTGGTGTGGTGGTCGTGGCGGTGGTGGTGGTGGCGGCGGTGTGGTATTGCTGGTGCTACTTCGGTGTATATACGCGTGTATATTGGTGAGACACGCACTTCGGCGGGGCCGTGGTTCTCGCTCTCTCTTCTGTTACGTTTCATTCCCTCCTTCTCTCGAATCCCCCTATTCACCGCGACTATCCTCTCTGTCGCGCTCACGGAGGCCATCGTACCGAAAGCGACCGAGCCAGGCCAGGCACTACGCAAGATGGCTGTGTGTCGCTAACGAGAGCCCGACAAACCAGACGGGGAAAAGATAACCCGGGAATAAACAGAACATGCTGCTACGTGATCGTCGGGCCCGTCCCTGAACAGAGAGACACTGGCCAAGAACCGAGAGGTATGTTTCTCTTTTTCTTCTTTTCTCTCCTACTTCAATTTTGCCGACGATCCGTAACATGTTCTTTCCTTCGCTCTTTCTTTCCGACACGCCGTTAATCTCGTGTGTTTCCATCCCTTGCGTACGAATCAATGAAATGATGCTTTTCTATATTTCTACCGACGATATTTGCGGTTGACAGGTTACCGGAAGATACCGTGACTCGCGTGTCTTACCCGTTCCATTCTCGGTCGAGCGATTCACGTATAGCTTATCATATTGCGAACGCGTATATTCTCACGAACATACGTACGTTCGATAAACTGAAAACGTAAACAAATTAAAGTTTTCCCCCTCGTGAACTTCGGTCAATTGCCGTGCGTTCGTTTCACGAAACTTTTCTGCGAAAACCAGTAGGCTGATCGCGCGATCATATGGTGTAAATTGATCAGGTTAGCGGCGTGACAGTTTAAATTTTTTCTCCGCACTAGGTTTTGTGCGACGTCGACACGACAGCCACCTAGGAGATCGCGAAACGGGAAGCTGAATCGGAAACATCTGTTGCCGAAAGCTTGGAAAGGCGAACATAACCTCAGAATGTCGGTTTGCATGCGTCGTCGTTAGGTAGAAGATATATGTTCGGATCCGTGTTTTTCATTTCCGTCGATTTATGCTTTTATCAACGAAAGCAATCGTCGGTAGGTGTGTGCGTGCGCGTTTCGAGCTTAATAAATAACTTTTTGCCGTGGTAACGTTTTGCCTAACTTTTTTAATCGTAACGATCGTCTCGAGCGTGGATCTCGATAATATGTTGCGCAGTGGGATGCAATTTCACGAAACGCGTAGTATTCCTGAAATTGGACGAAATGCCAGCGCAAACGGAGTCGTGCCGACCGAGTGGAAAAGTTTGTGAATTGTAACACGCGAGCGAAGAACATCTGTCGACCAAGCAACTGCGTGCACGTAGGCTGGAAGTCGCGTCGCAGAAGCGTTTACTGGATCGCGATTTCTACGTGTCACCGAGTTGTACGTCGATAGCGTACGTATATATGTATATATATACATATACGATGTTTCATTACGAACGAAATCCTAGCACTTTTCGTTGCTTCGTTCAACACGCGCGTAAGCTCGCCTGGAAATTCCCCATCCACATAACACACCGTCGGTTGCTTCGTGCCAAAGTTTATACAGTATCTGGATCATTTACCAACGCGCGACCGTCCTCGTTCCTTTCTCTTTTTTTTTTTCTTTTTTACGTTAAAACCTACTGTCACAGGCAGTAGCGATATTTTTTATTTCCGCTTAGCTGGGAGACTCTCGTATCGATACCACGTTTCGTTTTGTGAATCGTGCTACGTTGCCGTCGAATGGTTCTTCCCCCGGCTGAAATTATATTTTAGCGACGGATCGAAAACTGCTCGCGATGTCGATCAATATCAACTCTTGCCTCATGAGTTTTCCGTTTTTTTTTTTGTACTATATACGTTAGGATTAATTAATACTTTAAGAAGGTATCTACACACGATTTTGTCCATGTTAGTCAAAACGTCTTATGTAGCGTCTTTCCATTTTTCAAGATATGCTGAAATATTTAAACTATATCGGTGTTTTTTATTTTTTAAGTGAGGTTATATAGGCTGTTCCGAAATAATGACCAAGCACTTTAAACTGAACGAGGCAAAATAAAGATAGCACAATGAATATGATAAAAATTCGAATTTATTCGGTTTCGATATGGTAGATAGGATACTGTAACTGAGAAGGGTAGAATTTGTATTCGGTAATCTATAATTTTATAATTTTAAAACAAATTCAGGGTTAAAATTGAATTTTGATACGATTATGAGACTCCTCTTGTTTCACTTCAGTAATGAGTGATTTAGAAGCCACATTGGTCAACTACATAAATCAAGTACGGGAAAATGATGATGTTACGAATGCTGTTCTTCAAATTTGCTATTATTCATGTTACCTTCTCCTGATAGATGACTTTATGGAACTAAATGATTTGTTTCTTGAGAACTGAACATTAATTGTTCGCTCGAGTAATGAAATTGAGGAATTAACAGAAAGTGGAGAATACGATCGGTTTAGTTTCTGAGATAGTCGAAAATGTAGCTCGATATTATAAAGAAAGACGTTAATCTTTCGAAATAAGACGAGCCACTAACTACATTTCTCTTTCCATTTCGAAAACGAAATAGCAAGCGAAAGCAATTTCAAGATAGAAAGAAAAATAATCATCGAATCGTTTTCCCGTGGAACTCCGACTGAAAATCCAATTAGTTTCATCCGTATCCCTGTTCCTCGGAGTTCTGCGCGTTCATCCGCAGATCGATTGGTGCTCTATATTGTCGCGTTTGATTATCGTTTTCTAATTATCGACCGCCGTCTGGCAGTCCGTGAGGCAAACGAAGTAATCGGAAGTGGCAACCGGCGGCATAGTGTGCTCGCCCAGCATTTTTTATCTCGTTTCTACGAGATTTCCTCAAACGTGGCCTTCCGAAAGGCCTTTCGGCATTTCGAGGTCCACCTCTCGACACGTACGAGCACCTCCCAGAAGGACATTACCACACTTTACGATTACTACTTCTCTTTATCGTGCGTGCGTGTATATATCAACGTACGTCGTTCCATTTACTTTTTCCTGTTCCTCTTACAAACCACGTTTCGTTTTTAACACCGCGATAGGCGAATGACAAAGCACGAAACAACGTTTTATGGTAATATATCGTGATACAAGCGGGAAGGACGTGATTCCTCATGTAAAAATAACTTGGAAATGTCGAATTTTTCATACGATGCTTTGTTTTCGAGAAAATGCAGTTTGATAATTTGCTTGATATACATACAAGGTGTATTTCATTGTAATTCATGATAAAAATGGGGTCAGGGAGATTCTGTGACTGAAAACGAAACTAAAATGAAGGATAAAGAATTTGCGTTTAAGGAAATCAAGTTTGAAAACTTGTCAGGTTAGATATGTGAATCTGCCTGATTCACCCAGCTAGACAGGAGTGAACAATAAACTGGACACTGCTGTAGACGCGAAAACAAGTTGAGAACCTGGAGCAAGGATTTTGCATTCGGAGTTTTTTTACGAGAGATTCGAAATTTTGTCCAGACTGCGTTTATCAGATTAATTCTCGACTAAACGTGATCAGTTTTTTTGAAGAAAAAATTATTTTAGCTTATTTTCATATATAAAATAATTTTGTTGTGATTGTTTTTCCATATTCGGTCGAGAATTAGTTAAACTCACATCTACCAAAATATCCAGGGTTCATAACAAAAATGACCTTTGTCCATGTTTGACTCATTCCATTTTTCCTCAATACATTTAAATCACGATTTCGCAATCACCTTGTATATTAGGAACGGTAAGGCACATACATCAACTATGCTCAACGATAGTTATTGTTTCTAAAGACATTATAATGAAATATTGTATAATTACACGAAATTGTACGGCGATGAGGAAGTTTGATCGAAAATGGTTGTTTCGTGATTTCAAGGCGATCACGAGCAAGTTTGTGGAGTAAACCGAATATCGATCGATACATTAAACGAACTTGCTATAGCGCTCTGGGACATTTGTTGATCTTTAGGTAACCTTAAATGAGGAATACGTTCGATATCGCGCGATAAAAGCAAGATAGGTGGCCGAGCTCACCCTTAAAATCTTCGAATACTCATTTCTTATACAGTGGTGTGTGAGAGTTTTCGGATAGATTTCCCACTTTATACTTCAAAAACGATACTTTAAAGAATTTGAAATCGTGATTGGCAAGACGGAGTTTACGAAATTCCAACGATTTTTATTTTTATTTTTAAATACAGTGACCAATATAATACTTATAAAAAATTTGTTTAATTATCCTTCATTTAAACACGAGAGTGCTACGTTAAATTTCTCCCTGTCTTTCAAATAATAAATTCTACAAAATTGAAGTTAAAATATCTTTTAAAATTCTCAATTTTCGACCTTGTTATTGTTATTGTTATTTGTTATTGTTGTTGTTGTCTTAATACCTTTCTATGTAGAATGAGTAAATGATTTGGTTTACGATAAGAAATGTTCTCGTTTCAAGAAATAATATAACTGCGAAATGCATATACATCATTGCACTTGCGAAGAAAAATCATCGGGAAATATTCGTAGTTTTCCTTGCAACTATTCATCTTTTTTCTGTAACATTTTCTTTTAACTTTATCCGAGAAAGAGATAAGACTTGCTCCAGTTTCGTAAATCATCTTGTATAATTGTGTAACGATATTTATTTGTTGCATTGCTTTCTTTCACTCGCCATATCCTTATATAAAATATCTCTTAAAAGATTCTTTTAGATATCGCTATGTTAGAATATACTTAAAGCGAAAAATTCATTTGACAGTGAACTTTTGCAAAATAATCGCAAGATAATCTTCGTCGAAATTCCTACTCTAAATGATATCCAAACTTTTAATTTTACAATTATATTCTTAATCGTAAGAGACGTTTCAATGCCTTTTTTTTTTTTAAGAAAATGGATCTTTCTTTCGTATCATATTTGTATTCTACAAAGAAATTTCGTATTTTTTTTTTTTTTTTGATGAAATAAAACCCTCTCTATTCGCTTATATCGTCCAACGGAATTTTCCATGCTTCATGGCCTTCCGTTTAAGGACTAAGCTTGGTCTGAATACTCCAATCTTCTGGTGAAAGCTCGGGTATCCTTTTGCTCGTACCGCTCGAACGCGAGACTCGTCGCTTACTTGGTAGATCTGGTTATTTCGTCGGTCGTAAACCACGATTCCACTCGAAACCATCTCTGACACGCTTCCAATTCGATTTAGTTTAGCGTAGGTTTTTGCAAACACAAATAGAACGCGACACACAAGACTCATCAAACGTCTGTTACACTGTTTGATCGATAGAAACACTGTGGAATCTTGTTACAGTGTTCCTTGGAACGAATGGGATAAAGATGCTCCTCCAATCGACGATACTGTTCTTCGACTTTTATTCTCACGCGTTT